ACAAATGTGGCGTTTTCCTCTCTCCTTGGCTGCATCGACACCTCACCTTCGCCGCTATCAATTAAAAATGGAGGGTGAAAATTATCTTTCTTGGAAGCATATGAGTGGATGCAGTCAAAAAACTCCCAATCTTTCGCCTCTTCAGCAGTCGCCTCTTCACCTGTGCCATCGCCCGAGCGGTATTTGAAAAAGCTTTTATATTTTTTCATCAACGCATTCCATTGTGCTTTACATGCTTCAGCACTTTTACCGTCCAGGCGATCCTTCAGCTCATTCGCGATTTTTCTAAGAAAAAACTTCTTAATAAAGTCTTCAAATTATTTATATTGTTCTTACTCACTTCCAGCCTTCGTTGCTGTTGGCGTTCTTTGAGCTGAACCAAATATCCTTGTCAATACGCCTTTCCAGAAGGATTCTGCGTTCTGAACTGCTCCCTGTAAAATAGTATTTTTAATTAAAAAAATACATAACGCCTTTTCATATGTAAATCTGAAAGTAAATCTTACAAGTTATATAGCTTTTCTTTATTTTTTTTTGCCGGCGGGACCATTTTATTTTATTTCCACTCGCTTTTGTTTTCTATACTTTATGTGTATACGTGCGTTGTTCGTTCTTCTTCTTGATAATGCTTGCTGTCAAATTTTTCACTAGCCCTGCCGTATCAAACATTTTTATTCACCTCATAGCTGTAGAAACACCTTACCATCCAGCAGTCAGAAGAACCATAACCATGAGGTAAAGTACAACACAAAGATGCACATCCCAAAGATTGTGCAGAAATGAGACTTTTTTTCACGTCGAATCCTGCTTTCAACAAAAAACCCGATGAAGCAAGCAATCAGCTTTTTTTCGTATATTAAGCTACATCAAAGATTCGAACTCATATCTACTCCGATGCCTAATACATTAAAAACTCTACCGCAAGGGCATTTGCCCAGTTCTATACTCATAAATGACGTGGGAGCTCATTTTCACAGTCGGTTCCAGATATGATACCGGCTGTTCTTTTGCGTTAACAAAAGGGCTTGATGTTACAATTGTCGTCGGTGCTTTTCACGTGTACTGCTCGACATTTACAATTACTAGAAGCTGTACGTTTCGCCTCTTAAAATGAAGGAAATTTCCTCATATGCACGGACAGTAATTCAGCCATCGAAGCCCTCTTTAACAGTGCTAATGATTCTCATTATAATTTCGAAATCACGTGAAATACTCTTTCGACACAAAAACACCATTAGAATTATGTGGCTACCTGGGCACGTTGGAGTATAAGGGAGCGAGTTTGCAGACCAATTATATATGTGTTAAAAACTTAGCTTAACATAACATTTACATCTAAAGAACTGTCATTTTCAATATTCTGCAAAACCCGCTATCAGCACATTTTTATACCCGAGCACACTTGAGCACAAGGGTATTATAACTTTGTTCACATAACGGTTGTTTGTAACAGGCAAAACGAGTCGAGATAGATATAGACAAATGTATACATAAATGATCAGAATGAAAAGAGAAATCGATTAGGCGGTCTGTCCGTCCGTCCGTCCGTCTGTGCACACGATAACTCGAGTAAAAATTGAGATATCTTAAGGTAACTTGGTACCTGCACTTATTTCGGGCGTTGGACGGATGATATTGAAAATGGGCAAAATCGGACAATAACCACGCCTACCTCCCATATAACGGTATTTTTCAGAAATACGAAAACTGCGATATTTTAGTAACTACTGAAGGTTATTCACTCAAAATTGATATTTATAATAATTTTTAGACGAAAAATAAGAATATTATAAATCTTCGGAAAATGGGCGAAGCTACGCCCACTTATGGTTACATATGTATATCTTGGTAACCGCTGCACCAATTTCTTTCAAACTTGGCGCCATTGTTGCCCTTGGTACAGCATACCAAATGGCCAAAAATTTTTAAAATCGGACAATAACTACGCCCACATCCCATATAACGGTAATTTAGAGAAATACGAAATCGTTGATAAATCAGTAAATATTAAAGCTAATTTATTCAAACTTGATGCTTGCAACGATTCTTTACCAAGAAATACGGTTATGATAAAATTTAGAAAATAGGCGTGGCACCACCCACTTTTGATCATATATACATATGTATCTCAGTAACTGTTCTACCAATTTGTACCAAACTCGGTATGGTTATTGTGCTTGCCACATAAAAGGAAAGCACTGAAAATTATTGAAATCGGACTAAAATTACGGCTGCTTTTCATACAACGGTAAATCTCAGAAAGGCTTGAAACTTCAATATTTCGAAATTTAAGGACGCTAATTTACTAAAAATTGATACACCCCGGCTTACCATGTAGCGGTAGCTTTCGGTAAGGTGAAAAACATATATTTAATACTTGCGCCGGGTATTTAATGTTCGGCTCCGCCCGAACTTAAACTTTCTTAATTATTTTATATAAATAGTTACAATTCGAATTGCAATAACCTCTATCTGATCTTTAAACTAAAATAAAATGAATTAAAAGTAAAATTCTAGTTTTAATATATAGCGAAAATTTTTAATACATGCGTGGGTACTTAAAATTATTAACACTTTTAAAAATAGCTGTCAAAACAGTTTTTTTGCTCTCCTGGATATTAAGTTTTTGCAGATAGAGGGTATTGAATATAAGCCCTCGATATACTACTTATTAACATTAGGATAACATAACTATGTTAACACTCTGCATTGTTTTACTCTTACATACATATATTGATCTATTATTTTTATTGGCCAAATAATAGACATAAGAACGATTATGAGAAATGTAAATATAACAAAACTGTCAAAGCTAAACTTCAAAATGGGGGGAAGTGCCAGATGAATATACGTAACCAATAGTTATTCAAGACACGAACCATCATATTGGTATAGACACGAATTGACATGGCCACTATGAAAACGCCCACACTGACATACGATGAAAGAATCGGTGGTCACATACCACGAGGCTA